ATATATATATATATATATATATATATATATATATATATATATATTCTATGTTGGTTCTCTTTCTCCCTCTCTCCTTCCCTCTCTCTCTCTCACACACACACTGAGAAGCTTGAGGCTCTGAGCAGTTGTATATTTGAGAAAGATCTTGGCTCTCTGACCAGCTCTGCTGGGCTCTACAGAGATGTCTCAAAAATGATGTTGAGTAGAATCTGAAGAGCCCTCTGATCCAAGGTTCCAGAACAGAAGGGATACATTTAAGAGTTGAGGAACCTATCTGACAGTTCCCAAGAGTATGGGGGAGTTGCCAGACTCATGTTCTTCACTCAGAACCAGTGTAGGAGACGCTTCTTGTGAGAGTTGAGTGCTATTTACACTCACAGGTCTTTAAGGAAGAAAGGAAATGACCTGTGGTTATTTAAGGTGGGGTCTTGGAGTGCCCAGAAATGTTTGAAAGCACTGACTTTGAGATACTGCGAGGATAAGATGGGGGCTAGAGAGATAGCTCTAGTTAGGAGTGCATACTACTTTGGCAGAGGACCCACGTTTGGTTTCTAACACCTGTATTAGGTGGCTCAAAACCACCTGTAAACTCAACTTCTAGGTGGGTCTGATGACTCTGGTCTCAGCAGGCACCTGCACTGACCTGCACACATAATTAATAAAAGTAAATGTTAATAAGGGTAAGGGAAATAAAAAGGTAGAGGCAAGCCTTCAATAGTCACTAACCAGTCAGGAAGAGTCAAGTAGAAGCCAGGTGTACTGGTACGCTTTTAATCCCAGCAGAGGTAGGTGGATTTCTGTGAGTTCGAGGACAGCCTGATCTACAGAGCAAGTCCAGAAACAATGTTTTGAAAAACCGAAAAACAAACAAACAAAAACCCAAACAAACCAACTAAAACACAAAGTCAAGTGGAATTCTGTATGTTACCCTGTGGAATCCTGCCAATCACCATCACACACACACTCACCATGTTTATCTATGCTGGTATTGTTATCATAGTCTCCTCTTCCATTTTTATGGTATTTATTGATTCTAGGAGTTTCTTTACACTTCTAGTGACTTCAACGATAAATGTGGGAATAGATCTGAAGGTTTTGTTTAGTGTTTGTTGCGTTTCAGTGTTGGATATCAGCCCCAGCTACGCTTCAGGCCTAGCAGGCAAGCACTATAGCATTGAGTGCCATCCCCTAATTAGCATGTTGGGTGCTAGCACAGGGATCCAGAAAGCTGTTGACTCTACTTAACTCACCACTGCTTCCACTATAGACTCTTTCAAAAAATTTAAACCCCCAGATGTCTTCCCTTTCAAGTTCCCTAGACAACACCTATTCTCTCCTCTCCAAGGGCTCTTTTGGGTACCGGGATACCTTAGTGTTTGTCTTTCCCTCACTTTAGTGGAGAAAATGACAGGCAGATAAAGGGAAAGGAAAGCAGTACTGCTACAGGAACAGCTCATGGGCTCAGCAAGGAGTCATTTCCCAACGTAGGCCATTTGAAATGCTGGATTACGACCTCCCCACAGGACAGGCTCCACAGAGCCCTTCCACACATTGTGAGCTGAGCTGAGTGACCCCCCCCCCCCCCCGCTTGTACAGTCTTCTCTAAGTTTCCATTCCAAGAGGCATCTTACCTACCAGCGATGAGATACAACTAGAATCTAGATGGGTTGGATTATCACTTATACTGTCTGAAGCACTGATCTTTGAAGACAATGAAACTTTGTTTATTCAAACATGTTATTTTTCTTTTTTTAAATTTTATTTCCTGAGGCAGTGTTTTTCTGTGTAGCCCTGGCTGTCCTGGACTCACTTTGTAGACCAGACTGGCAAGTGGATCTCTGTGAGTTAGTAGCCAGTCTGGTCTACAATGTGTGGAAGGGTTCTGTGCCTCCTGAGCACTGAGATACAGCTCAAACTCGTTATTTCCTCCTAGTATGAATGCTCAAGGACAAATGACCATTTTGACTGGAATAACCCCACTAGAGAGAGTTACACAGCTTGCCAAAGGCCATTACTCTAGAACTAGGTGTCATGGAGTGTATCCATCTGCAATCCCAGTACCCTGGCTGAAACAGGATTATAGGCTAGTTAGTGAAACCCTGTCCTAAAAACAATATAAGCAGGGAATGGTGGCTTACATTGGAAACTGAGGCAGGATTGTCAACAGCGTGAGATTAGCGTGGGCTGTACTATGAGACTGTGATCTTGCCTCCAAAGCAAAACACAATAAATTAACACCCCCCCCCCAACACTACCACCAAAAAAACTAAACCCTCCAAGAAAAAAAAAAAAAAAAAAAAAAAAAAAGCCATTAATTATCCGGCTACTGGGGACAAACCCAGGCCTCAGGAGTGTGATGGCACCTTGGTTTATCCCCCGTGGTATACTACTGTATACAGCTGTATTCAGGGTGTAAGGGAAGAATAGGTTTCCCCTGGAAGTGTTTTCCCGACAAAGAGTATTGGTTGATAGAAATGTTTCAGTTGTTTTATAGGAATAACATGAGTTTTGCTATTTTTCACTGGTCTTTCTCTCTCTCTGGTTTTTTTGGGACAGAGTTTCTCTGTGTAGTCCTGGCTGTCCCGAAACTCACTTTGTAGACAAGCCTGGCCTCAAACTTACAGAGATTTGACTGCTTCTACCTCCCAAGTGCTAGGATTAAAGGCATGTGCCACCACCACCCAGCCTCTGTTCTCTTTTAAAGTTTGTAACCTAAGATGTCATGAAAAGCATCATGGTATCAGAAAACATAGTTGGGGTGGGGCTTGTGGTGGTACTTTGCTGCAATGTGAAATTCCAACTCATAAAAATATCAGTTCCAGGATCTTTCAAGTCTGGGAAAGGAGACCAAGTGGACACAGCCTCCCCTACCTTTCCTTTCATTGTCAGATGTGACCTTTGTCTCAATACCTAGAAGTGACATGACCATTGTCAGACATGGGATTTGTCTTCTAGTCTTTCATGTGACTTTAAATCAAGTTTCCAACCGGGCAGGAATTAAAACAGCAAAGAAATAAAGGAAGAGGGTGTCTAAGCAACCAAGTCTTCCCAGGAAGAGAAGAGGAAGCCGGGGAGAAGTGATTAATAGGTTTATTTGCATATACACAGAGAGTCAGCGTTGCTGGGTGAGAAGAGGCAGGGCTGAGAGGAGGTAAGGCTTCAGCAGAGGAAGGCACCTTGACAGACAACACAAGACTCCTATTAAATCAGCACAGTTGCAAACTTCATTTGCCTCAAGCCAACAACTCATTGAACTCATTTATCGGTTGAGAATCATTTACAAAACCAGGTGAGAAATAAAGGGATGAGAAACAGTTTCACTACCTGGACCTGCCACTTAAAACATATGTACACGGTGCAGGAAAAAAAGTCCTTAAGAGGCACTTCCAGGAGTTCTTAGCCTGATCAGTGCCCTCGCCTGCTAGGAAAAACACTGTCACGGAAGAATTTGGGGATTAAACTATGTTTTCAATATGGGAGGCCTGGATTCTACAATGCTTTAGGCAAAGGGACCTTTGAAGTAGTTCCTGGACCTCTGGAAACGAGTGTGGAGTGGCTAAAAGAAGCATCCCTTTCTCTCCACCTCTGGTGGGTATTTTGGGGCCCACATCCTGACAACTCAAACCTATGGTGCTGGAAGTCTCTCCCAAGGATGGAAAGCACCCTCAAAGGATGACCTTTCTCAGTGTCTACAGTTACAAACTAAATGAACTCTTTTTTGAATGTTATTTGAGTACCCAAATGAGATAGACAGCTTTTAGCATTAAAGACTACAGTTGGCACTTGGAAACTAATTAATAGCTAATTTTGTTTTCTTTTTCCTCCAGGAAGATATTGTGTAAAACAGAATAGAAGAACCAGGTATGCTGAACTAAGGGGAAGAGAGACACACACTGAGTGGTTATAACTTTTTTTTGTATATAAAGAATTAAAAATTCCAATTTAATAATTTTGGAAAAGCAAATGTAAAATGACTTGGGCTTATAAAACCAGAATTTACAATTATTTGTGAATAGTCAAAAGAGAAATCATAGAACCATTTTGATTACAAATCTAAAGTAATTCTAGCGTTGGTTACAGAATCACTGTCCCTCCCCAGGAAGAGTCCAGCTGCTGACTATGCATCCCGCCCTACTCAGGCACCTTCCTCTCCTTCTCAAACCGTGCGTCCACACCTCAGCTACATCACACAGATACTAGGCACATCTCCCTTCTGCAAAGCTCAGAAAGATGACATGGCCTCCTGGTTCTTACCAACCACCTTCCTTTTATAAGAGCCCTGGCTCCCAAAACTGACAGCCATCCATTCTTCAGCCTCCACAGGTGGTCTTCTCTTGGCTCCATTCCAATAGGACAGGTCCTCCTCAGAAAGGGATGCTGGGTCAGTAAGGACACAGCTGCCTTGTGCTAAGTCCTCCCAATGCCAGTTCCGGCCAGCCTCCAGCTGTCTAGCACCTTTGCATCCACAGTTCCACCATTCTCTCTTCCTCCTGCTTTTAACACCTATACCAACAAGACTTCTGGGCATCCTTAGGTCTTCTTGTCTTGCACAACCCTTCAGGGACTACAATCACCATTACACACTGGAGATTTGATATTTTCTTCTCTCCACTGTTATCTACTTCAACAGAACACACTGTCTTCCGGGACTCAGGAGATTTGTCACTCCATACTCTCTGTCTCCTAAGAGATGTTACCACCCTGCAAAGCTCAGGTAGAACCCCACAGCCTCTGACAACTCCAAGCCTGAGGGAAGGTGCCAGACCCAATGGCTGACAGATTAGCGCTGGAGTAAAATAAGTACCACCTGGTCTGCTCTGCACTACAACTCATTAGCTTTCCTCCACCAGCCATTTTATTAAAGTGAAGAGGTCTCCCAAGCGGTCCTTGCTTCTTTCAGTACGCCTGGACTCCCCTACCTGGAGCCAAGGAAGCACCTGCCGGCCTTGAGTGCCTCTTAGAAACCCAGCACCTAGATGATTAAAGTGTGTTATCCACTAGTCACTGGATGGCACCTCACAGCACAGAATGTAGCTCTACCCCTTCTGCAAACAGCGACATCATCAGAATGTCAACCTAGCGTCAACCTCTCGTTAGCATGGACAATGTTCTACTCAGAGCCACGGTGAATGCTCAGTGATGTGTTAATGGAGAAAACATGGAGCATTTAAGAAAGGAGCCATGTTTTCCTCTTCAGCACAACCAATTAACTGAAAGCAGGCCTCTTTCCATTCGGCCCCCCTTTCTGCTAGCATAAATCTACAATACACTGCAGCACAATCTGACCTAAGAGACACTCTTCGTTAGGACCAGGACACCATGTCATGTGAACAGTGAACAAGTGAGATGGCAAAAGCTACAGACCCACACGTCTTTGCTGATGGACAGCTAAAAGGTATCCTAGACAACAAGCCCACATGTGCAGTGGGCATGTACACACACACACACACACACACACACACACACACACACACACACACAAAGCCTAATGTCCCAAGAAGGGCCCGTTGTCACAGAACCTGCACAGGACTGCTATGCTCACACCTCACTAGAGAAGGGCCATTAGGAGTCTCCCCCTCTCAGCAGAGCACGAGGCAGTTGCCAGGAAGACATTCTGACCCACTGGTGAGTGATGAACAGAAGGGAGCAGCAGCAGACACGGTTCAGGCCCCCGGTTTATGTGCCTTTAATACTTTTTCCTTTCCTCTGTGTTCACTAAACAAGAAAAACTATTTTGTAAGGCTACTTTTTGTAGCTTTTTGTTTTCCCTTTGTATTTATCATGTTTTAAATTTCTTCTCTGAGGAGGAATTCTCTGAATCTGTGTCTTCCAATTCAATTCGGTGCCTTTTGAGGGCACTGTGGCCATGAACAACCTTGCTGCTGTCCATGGCTGAGGGGTCAGTGGGGTCCTCTCTCATTCCAGCACTTGGGGTCTCACAGGTCATTTCAGCCCCACAACAATCTTTGTGTAGAAGTGTTCCTGTCAGGGATGGGTTGTCATGGTCAGTGTCTGGGTGTCCTGGGGAAGAGTAGGCCCCTGTCTCCAGCTCCCCAGAGTTCTGCCCATTGTTGTGGGGATGAAGGGGTCGGGGGTGCAAGCGTCCATTGTTGTGGTTGGCACAGAGGGTTTCAAGGCTCCTCTCCTCATTGTCATCAGACTGGGTCCTGGGACAGCTGCCAGATACACTGTTGAGAGTGGAGCCAGATGCCTTGGGGACCGGAGGAGAGGGTGGCTCCTCAGCCCGACTGCTCAGGGCCTTTCCATTAAGCTTCCTGGTTTCAAAAGCATGTTCTAGAGGGCCACTGTTGTTAGTGTCCTGAGAGGTGTCCTCTGGCACCTCTGCCCAAGGATGGTTGCTGTGCTCATGGCTGGCGCCACTGCTGGGGTTTCTAGTGGAAGTCCCTTCTTTACAGGCATCTTTGCTGCAGCCTTCAGAGAGCAGTTCCTGGTTCCTCTGGGTTGTATCTGTTAGACAGGCTTCCTTACTGGAAGAAGGAGTTGGGTTGTCTTTGTGGCTGGTTCCTGCTCTTCCTTCATCTGCCTCCTCTGTCACTAAGGAGGTTTCTCCATCTTTGTTATTCGAGTAAGAGATATAGGAGTATCGGAGCCATTTGTAAGCTTTATAAATCTTTCGCTCAACTGATTCCATGTTGGCAGCCGGTGGTGCCCGGCTTGGCTGAATATCCAGAGTGGAAGCACTCCGCTCGGGGGAAGAGTCTGGGGAGGAGGAGAGGTCATCCACTTTGATCTGGGGGTAGTCATAATTGTCCTCTCCAATGTAGGTGTTCGTGGGCTTGACTGGAGCGTTGGGCCGCTCTTCCCGGGATGTCTTCTGTCGCCTCCGCATTGCATTTCGCTGTCGGGTGGTGGCTCGGCGTTGGTTCAGTTCCTCTTCATCCTCCGAGCTGCTGGAGCTGCTGGAACTGCTGGATCCATCCTCAGGGCTGGGCGACCGTGGCCGAGGAAAGAGGTCTGTGTCCATTTCAGCCTCACAGGCATTCTCTTCAGAATCAGACTCGTTGGACAGGGCCAGGAGGCGCTTGTCCTGATAGCGACGCAGAGCAGACAGGCGCTGCTGTCGAGAGGCTGCATCCTCACATGTTGGTGTTGCTGGGGTTGACCCTACTGCACTTGTGGTGGTGACACGCAGGGGCCCCAGGTGGAAGGCGTTGTCGGCAGACTCATCTATCGTCGGAGGTGGGGAGCGGGGCAGTGAGGCTGAGGATTCAGAGTCAGTGTAGCCGGAGCGCTCACTGACTCCCGCATGCAGCTGAAGGATAGTGCTCTCGCTCAGGTCACTGTCTGAGTCGGAGCTCCAGCCCTCGATCTCGCGCCGCACCAAAGAGTCAAAGAAAGCCATCATCCGGGGGTCTTCCTGGACTGACTGGTTAGCATAGTCGTGGGACAGGCCACTCCCACTGTTCAATACAAGGCTGATGTACTCTTCATGGGTGTAGAGGCATCGGGAATCATCTTCAATCCGACCATCGAGGTCTCCTGTGCATCCTGGCTGCTTGTACGGGCTCCAGATCTACACAGAAGATGAAAGACAAAAGCAACCATTGAATGGGAAGTGTTGGATAGCTGGCCGTAGGAAAGACCACTAAAGAGGCCCTCCCAGACATCCTGTCTGAATTTTAAAGCCACAGAGCAACTTTAAAAGTATTTTCTTTAAGTATTTTCTTTCTAGGTACAATGGCACACTCTTGTAATACCTGCGCTTGGGAGGCTGAGAAAGGAGGGTCACAAGGCCAACCTGAGCTACAAAGCCACAACTTGTCTAAAAACAAAACAAAACAAAACAAACCCCCCCCCCCACTGCCCCCAAAACAACAAAAGCTCTCTAGTAGACTGGGTCCTATTATATGTATATCAAAAGTGAGGCTTTCACAGGTGGGCAAAAGCAGTGTAGAGCATAGAATTAGACTTGTATCCAGATGTCTTTAGGCCAAGGATACCCACGTTGCCTCTTCCCCCTTAAGTTTTCTGCCAATATATTAGAAATTATAACCTTAATCTAAGAGGAGGTGTGGAAGATGACTTGAATATTAGGTGATTTAAAAACCCTCAGAAAATTGAAGCTATGCAGAGAAGACTTTTTCCACAGTGAAAATACACCTTGTCAGGCACGATGGCACACTCGGAAAGCAGAGGCAGGCAGGTCTCTGTGAGTTCAAAGCCAGCCTGGTCTGCACAGTTAAGTTTCAGGGCTACTTTGTGAGACCCTGTCTAAAATACAAAACCAATCAATCAACCACACACCCACCCTAAGAAGATTTCAGCCTATAGCTCCACTTTTCCCAAACAGCAATATTCTATTTTTAACCAATGAGAATTACTCATTGGAGCTTGACAAGAATAGACAACTGCCTACACTGCACTTCCCTCTTGGCCATGTGGCATCAGTTACCCAGGAAACTGGGTTCTCTTACCCAGGGAGTGCTGGCTTGCTTCAAAGGTAATTTTCCTAGCTTCAGGAAGAGGCAAGACACTGTCCTCAGAGGGGTGACTGTAGCCCCATTCCTTACCAGGTCATCTGTCTTCATGCCCCCCCCCCCCCAGCCCTGCCCAGTCAAGGATGTACACTTACAGCTAGAAAGTAGCAAAACTAGAATTTTAAAGTCAGGTGTTTTGACTCAAAAGCCGAGCCGTACAATTGTGTTAACTTATGCAAGATCAAGCTCAAGGTAAGTAAGCTGTTGCTGCAAACGAGAACAATTAACTCCATCTGACTGGCAGTCAGGTCCACAGAGCAGCACAGAGCAATTCAGCTACCAGCCCATAGCCATAGCATCTCAATGAAAGTCCAGTCACTTTCATGCCTGACAGGCTGGTGCCTATCTTTAGATGGCATCTAACTCAGAACAGTGTCTTATGCTTTCTCAAAGCTAAGAACACATTTACCTCCTAGGAAACATCCCGAGGCCTACCCCTACCACCCATGCTTCAGCAATCCCCAAGTGGTGCTCTCTCTGAAAGACTTCCAGTTCACAGGAAGCTGATGACACCTAAGGCTAGCTACTTCTCCTCAGCCAGCAACTACATTTGTTCTTCTTTCAGTTTGTTTCCTATCTACAACTCAAGTGTCTTCCCCTCTCTGGCTTCAAACTCTCACTCAGGAACTTGAAAGCAGCAAGTCTTAAACTTCAGTGTGTCCAAGAGATACCTCCAGAACAGGGTTGACTCTGAAGACTGACTCTTGAAGAAACTATGACTCATTAAGTCACAGATACTAAGATCATGCATTATTAACTCAGAGGGGTCAGTAGATATGAGACAGGTTTAGTAACATGTAGTAACATATAATAAGGGTAAAGCAAGCAGCAGAGAGCAAAGGTTTTGTTTGAGGGACATTCAAATTCTTTGAAAGAGCCAATGCTTGGAAAAGGCTTAGGTAGCACAAGGCTCCAACTACAGATGACCATCTGCAAACAGATTTCTGAGGAAATAAGAGTTTGGTGACTTAGGAAAGGAGCTAAAGGGTTCAAAAGCTGACCACCTTAGGCTGCCTTTGCAGGTCTCATCTGAATACTGAGCCAAGTGTTTTATTTCCCCAGTTTACAAAAAACAAAATGCAATTAGCCACCGTCCCTAATATGAAGACAAATCTAACCTTCATAGAAATCCACTCTGCTAACAGAAACGGCCTAACTACTTTACAAGCTACTTTTTAAAATTAAAATCTTATTTTAGGTAGCCTACTTCATAAACCACCTTAAAATTAAAATTGTATTTTATATATATGGGTGTTTTGCCCACCTTGGAGGCCAGAAGAGGTAGTCAGATCCCCTGAAGCTGGAATTGCAGAAAGTTAGGAGCCACCATGTGGATGCTGGGAATTGATCCCAGGTCCTCTGTAAAAGCAGCCAGTGCTCTTCATCACTAAGCCATCTCTCCAGCCCTCTGACAAGCCATTATTAAAGTTCTAATCTCCCAGCCCCCATATTTTCTCTTCAGGAATGAAAATCACAACATTAAAGGTCAGTTTTGTTTTGGCTTGGGAAGGTGTCAAGTTGAGCTAAACTGTGTATTCCTGAAGTTTGGGGTAATAGGATAAGACTGGATCAAGAGGCAGGAGACTTGGGAATGTGAATTCCTAGCTAACTGGTGACCTGGTTGAGGCGTGCCTCCTTCATCTAAACACTGAATTAGATGGGTCCTAATGTAGTCCTAAGATTCAAAGCAAAACAGTCAGTGTTTGTTTGAGCAGTACAGAGTAGCAGGAACACAAGTCCCACCACTTCCCACAGTCCTAAGTAAATGTCTTTACCCTGGAAAGCTGCTACTTCTCAACTACAGTTGAGATAGTGATAAAACTACCTAAGCTATAGCTGGGCAGCAATAGGCATGCTGCCTTCTCTTTAATTTGGTGGCTGAACCCCACAGCCAGGAAGCTCTAAGACCAAAATGTGTAAGCTGGCCATCAGAGTTACTGACTCCTACTATCCTGGCACAGAACCATTTCAAACATATACAAAACTATTTCTTTAGCTCAAAGTCAACCATTCAAAACTGCAGCAAAGCTGGGGCTGGAGATGGCTCAGTGGTTAAGAACACTTGCTGCTATTCCCAAGGACCCAGGTTTAATTCTCACATGACAGCTCCAAATATGGTCTATAACTCCAGTTTCAGGGAATTCAATGTCTTCTTCTGACCTCTGGAGGTACCAGGCATGCATGTGGCACACAGACATACATGTATGAAAAATGCTCAAACAATTTTATGTATTAAAATTTTAATGTTAAAAATTTTAATTTAAAGACTAGAGGCAGAGTAAATGTAGGATCCATCAAGGAAAAGTGAGAAATGAAATTGGAGGTACTCCAAAGGTGCCCCCTTCTGCCCTTCTCTTGAAGTCCACCACTTGTTAAAATCTAGTTCAAACATAATCTCTATTGAGATTATCCCAAATGAGAAAAATTCCTCTTTCCAAAGTGTTTTGTCAACTGGGCAGTGGTGGCAAATACCTTTCATCCCAGTATTCGGGAGGCAGAGGCAAAACCTTGTCTTGAAAAACAAACAAACAAACAAACAAACACGAACAAACAAAAAAGAGACAACTACCTGGTGGCTCACAACCAACTATAGTGGGATCTGATGCTCTCTTCTGTCATGCGTACATGTATGACATAAATAAATAAATCTTTAAAAAAAATTTTCGTCTCCACATCTTGGGAACTCCTTTATCTTTATTTCCTTTCTCTCCTCCTGGGCTATCAATCTCCTCCTAGGGAGACTGGTGACACCTTTCTTTACCATATATTCCCCATAAGGGCTGACCATGAACAGCAACACCCCGAAGATTTACCTCAATATAGAGCTTTGCGGGGGGGAAAAAGAATTTGCCCTATCCTCTCACGGTTTGCCTATAAAACAAACCCCTTTTGCTTTGTGTAGGTTTTCAGGGAAACAGAGGACCAACAGGGGTGTGAAGAGGTTGGCTCTCTCAAAGGGAACTCGTTTTCAAGCTGAAGAGATGGCAGTAAAGGATGAGGACAGGGAGAAAGGAGAGCAGACAGAAGAAATCAGATCTCATGGGAGATGATGTTCCTGGAGCTACTGGTCTATCCTGTAGAAGCAGCAAGCAGCAAAGTAACATTTCGTTAAATAGCAATTGTCAGGTTCAGGTACATCCCAAGGCAAAGGTGGCAAGCCCTCACTTACAAATAGGAGACATACACAGACTGCTGAGAATTAGGGGCCTTTCAGGATGCTGTGGGCTCAGGCCAGGATAGTGACTCCAAGAGAGTTGGGGCCAGCACTTTGTTTCAGCCTTATCCTTTCTACTGTCTCTCCTGCATTTATTTTTCCTTTTCTTTGAGACAAAGCCTCACTATGTATATGTAGCTCAGGCTGACCTGTGAATCTGCTATCTTCCTGCCTCGGCCTCTTGAGTGCACACCATCAAACCCAATCTATGTTTTACATTCTATGGTATTCCCAGCCAGATGGGAAATGGAGAAACATCTATGAGAAGCCAAAGCTGAGAGCCCAGAAAACCCCTTTGTGTTTCTTTCTCACCATACACTGTTAAGGTTTTAAATGGCCAAATGTGCCCCTCTGTTCCTATGGGAACCTGGGAGCAGTGAGTTCCACTGCTCAGTATGGATAACCTCACAGAGAAAATATTTTCTTCTCTTTCTTGAGAACTTGGCCAGTTTCCAACCTATGACCTTTAGAGTTAAGACTTCAGTTGACTAAACAATATCTGGCGAGACTCAGCACAGAAGCATCCAAGTACATGCCAAACAGGAATTTCTCTTCTAAAGGAGATGCCCAAGCAGAGAGCTCTCTGAAGAGGATGATGTCAACAACCCTAGAAAGGGCACATTACGGTGCCAACCTATTAATCATAGGGCAAAGGAGAGGAGAAAGTAATGTGAGAGATAGGGCTGTCCAAGAGAAGGATGACTGAGATGGTCCAGTCAGTCAGCTGTCTACTCCCTTCCCACTAGCATGTGAATGTAGTGGGATCAGTCAAGCCAAACAAAACCCTAGCATGGATAGGGAGGTGGTCACAAGGTCCCCAAACCCTAGCTGAGGAGCTCTGGCACCTGATAGCTGCTGGAGGAAGATCAGTTTCCAGAGACACAAGACACAGGAAGCTACACACACCTCACAACCCCCATATGCAAACCCCTACTGATCCCCATATACACCCAACTCATACACACATCCCATTCATACACTCATACACACCCCTCCCACACAGCCCATACATACTCCACACACATACTGAAAGCACAAAGTGTATTAAAATAGGCTAAAAAGGTAAAGCACATAAAGTGGGAGGATAGTGTGGGGCAGGAGATGGACTTCAGGGAGTGGACTTGATCAACATACACTATATGCATGTATGAAATCTCGAACAATAAAATAAAGAGGAAAAATATCACAAATACAGTTTTACTTTTCCTCTGAAAATTATCTCAGAGGTTTTACCGTCATTAAAAATATTGGGGAATTTTAACTATTGTGGGAAACATAATCTCTCCTTATTCACAGGTCCTAAAGAATTTATCATTTTCAGGGGGCAGGAAGAGCTCAGTGGCAAAGCAACTGCCCAGCACATGCAAGGCCCTGGTAAAATCCCTAGTACCAGGTGAGGTGGGGAGGGAGGGAAACATTTTATCCTTTCCTCAAACCTTCATTTCCTCAGTATAGAAAAGTGCTACTAGCACCCAGAATGTGGGCAAGAACGGCAGGTTACCCTTCTGTGGCAACAGGCCAGGCTGGTCCCCTTTCTGTTAGCCATACAAATACTCCTTAGCCAAGGCAAATCTATCCAAATAGCATGGTTAAGATTCATTTCTCAGTCGCCTCAAAGACATGTGTTTTTGTTTTTTAATGCATTGTGAGACAATTTGGTCATGGTTCTGACAACTACTCAGTTAAAACTGTGCTAAAGCAATGTAGACATGGGACATAGCAATGTAGACACAGAAGAGACAGTGGTTCTCCTGATGACATCAAACTGGAAAGTGGACTTACCATCAAGATCAGAAGCCACTAAGACACAACAGGAAAGTAGTGTCCAGAAGACACTTCTGCCTTCAAAACCTGGTGACTAGTTTTAAAAGGGGCTCTAGAGGTATAGCTCAAAACCAAAGGGACGTCAAAGGACACTGGGCCAGGAGCCCAGAAGTTTGGGTTAAGGTCATCAAATCTAGACTGAGCTCTATACAGCTTCTCCATAAAAATAAACACATTTGATTAGCGGTTACCAAGAAGCACATGAAGGGATATTTATGGAACATATATAATATAGAAATGTATCAGATGCATATACACTAATCAGTGTGGGGTCCTTAACACAACAGATCAAAGCTACCTATCTTTTATGGCCTTGTATACACACATATATATATACACATAGATTTATATAAAAGTATACATATATTTTTCCTTTACTTGAAATAGGGTCTCTAATCCAGGCTGGCCTTAAACTCTCTTTGTAGTCAAGCATATCCCTTATCTCCCTGCCTGCACCTCTCAAGTGTTAACACTTGATTACAGGTGTGTGGCACCATACCCAAACAAACGTGCATTTCTAATAGAAATGCACACATGTAAAACACAGTTTTATAAGTATACTGGTTTATTAATAAACATGTTACAATGATTCTGAAAGACGGTAATTTTTTTTAAAAATCACATAAAAACAAACAAAAAACAGGTTCTTACTGTGTAGCCCTGCCTGGCCTGGATTCACTGTGTAGACCATTGTTAACTTAAACACAGGGATCTGCTTGCCTCTGCCTCCTGAGAGCAGGGATTAAAAACATGTACATCCACACCCCACCTACTTTTAATATCAACTTCTAATATTTTAATCCCCTTTAAAGGCAGAATCTTGCTCTGCAGCATAGCGAGCTTTGGGCTTGTGAGTCTCCTAACCTCAGCTCTAAATGTCAGGCTTACAAGCATATGCCACCATTCCTGGCACTCAATAAGAATTAGGATGAATATTCAACATATTTAGATATGAATTCCTACATTGTTCCAGTTTCTTCTAGTTATGAACTACAAACATTTCCCTAAAACAACAGAAGGGGAAAGTGCCTCACCTTGATAATCTTTTCTACACCAGAAGAGCAGATCATGTAGGTGTGGGGGTTAAACCGAACCTGGTTAACAATGGACCGATGCCCTTTCAGCACCATGAAGGCTCCATTGACCACCCTGCCAATGCCACCTGGGAAGACAGAGGAAACAAAATCAAATGATAAAACAGCTTCCAGTAATGACATATAAACAACTCTGAAGAGGAGCAGAGTCTTTTCATCAACTGTATGAGAGCAGAATGCATAATCTTTAGATAAAGTTGCCATGGAAAGAGCGATAGAACACCTCTCAGCATATGTGCTCTTAGCAAGAGCCTTTATTTAGCTGTAAGTGATGCCCACACTCACCCACAGTAATTCCACTGTCAATGACCCAAAGCCACTTAAAACTTAAAGTTTTTGGTCTCCAAGTTTTAATCCAAATGTTATATTAGAAAAAGCAAGAGAGCAAAATGAGATTGAATGCTTGGGACAAGTCAAGCTGCTAAGCCAGGAGCATGCGAAACCAGGAACATGTGACAACTTAAATACACAAGGCATCTTTAATCTGTTTAACTCTCAATTTATACTAAGGTAACATTAGAGGGAGAAAATAGGGTAATAATGAAAGACAGTTTTCTGCCCTTGCATAGCAGGGAGAAGGGAAGATACAGTGGATCTGGATCATGTTCATAATAAGCAAAATAAGCAAGGATGAAGAGCTGGAAAGAGGACCTAGGAGTGGCTCAGTGGATACTCAAGTGCTTGTTGCCAGCCTGACAACCTGAGTTCAATCCTAGGGCCTCACAACCATGAATGGAGTTGTTTTCTGACCACTTACATGCGGTGGCATCTATTTGCCCCTCCCCAAAATAAATAGGTAAATGTAATTAAAATAATTTAAAAATTTGGACTATAGAGTGGACCTTAATAAAATAACAGGCCATTAATAGAAAGCTGTAGCCATTTTTTTTTTTTTTGGGGGGGGGAGGCTTTCTTTGTGTACTACTGGCTGTCCTGGAACTCACTTTGTAGACCAGGCTGGTCTCAAACTCAGAGATCCACCTGCCTCTGCTTTCGGAGTGCTGGGATTAAAGGTGTTGGATTAAAGGTGTGCACTAAGAAAGTTGTATTTTAAGAAATATTTTGTAGGCATCCTTTAGAGAATTCGAAAAGTACCAGGGGCCGGCCGGGCTTGTGTTAACAGCATAGATACTGTCCTGAATGAACCTGGGATAAACAGAGGCTCAACACACTGGCCATGGTATTACACCCACACAAACACACGCACTGCATTTTCAACAAGGTTGCTCTGAGCTGTCACCTGCAACCGAGTACACATGAGGCTATTACGACAGGGCATGAGGTGTCCAGATACAAACCAAAGTGCTACTTGACCAGTAGATACTTTCTTTGTGCCTCTACCGCGGAGGCAAAGGACCATAAAGTATCGTGTCTGCTCCATGTGCCCCACTCCACTCCCAGAAACACTCTGATCAAAACTCATTCCAAACAAAGGAACAATGACTACAACAATACAGCGTCTCCCAATGAATCTCTTTCTAGAAATATTTCTACATTTGGCTTCCTAGATAAGTAGACTGACATGGTGTGATACAAATGTGCCTGACCTGTAGCTCATGGGCTGCACACATCCAAGGATACAAGTGCAGCCTAACACATCATGTCACAATGTCATATACTGAGGATGGGATGGAAGGAGGGAAAGATGGCTTAGGCTGAGGGAGAGGAGAGGGATCCATGGGAACCTAAGGGCATACAACAGTTGTCTAGATACAAGGGCTCACAGCATCCCTCAGAAGCACCCTTTTAGTTTTACTTGTGCTGCTGTGACTTAGCTGACAATTCCACGATATATTCCATCACTGGGGCAAGTATTGGAGCAGAATCTGAGAGGCTGGTTCTGCTTTGGCACATCCACAGTCAACAGAGAGCATGAATGCAGGCATGCATGCTATTCAGCTAGGTTTCCACTCACTACAATCCAGGGCCCAAATGGTGCTGCCCACTTTCAGGTTGGGTCTTCCCACATCAATTACGGTTATCCAATCTTCCAGCTGGATGTGGTGGTGCACACCCTTAACCCCAGCACTTAGGAGGCAGAGGCAGATGGATCTCTATAGGTTCAAGGGCAGCCTGATTTACATAGTGAGTTTCAGGACACCAAGCCTACAAAGTGAGACCCTGTCTCAAAAATCTAGAAAAATAAGAACAATCTCCCAAGGGCACACCTACAGGCCAGTCTCATCTAGATAGTCCTTCACTCTTCCAGGAATTTCTAGGTTAACAACCACACTAACTAGCTGGAACAGCTGTGTGACTTTCTTTCTTTGTAGGAAAGATTGATTTGACAAGGAGCATACAGCCATGGTTCTCTGAATTCTACTTTTTTTTTTTTTTTTGCGTGTGGGGAGATGTGTTTTTTTGTTTTTTTGAGACAGGGTTTCCCTGTGTAGCCTTGGCTGTCCTGGACTCACTTTGCAGAGGCTAGCCTTGAACTTAGAGATCCGCCTGCCTCTACCTCCCTGAGTTCTGGGACTAAAGGCATGCGCCACCACACCTGGTTTGAATTCTACTTTTTAAACATCCCGTTCTTGCCCCTACCTCTAAATTGGGGTGGTCATTAGCAAATGCACTAGATTAAAGCTACTGACAATCTTCTGTTTAAACTCACCTAACTTTAGGACCGTGGTTCAAGCTACTCAAGTGTCTCATGACACCTGCAGTAGTTCTCCCCATTTCTCTCTCCTTGACAGCCCCACTTCTATCACAACTCAGCAGCCAGAGCAATCCTCTTCAAAAAGGTCATATCATGTAGCTCCTCTTCCCATCATGTTACTCAATACCTCCACCCTCCTCTGTTCCACTTACCTTGGCCTTCATCTCCCATTGTGTACCCCCTTTGACACCCTTGCTCTGCTCAACCCATTAGATTCCATGTGTGTCAAATACACCGGGCCCACTCCTGCTCTAAGACCTTCCTTCAGGTTCCCTGAAATGTCCTTCCCCAAGACTGGTCTGTGCCTCTATTTCTTACCCTCTGAGGTTTTTGCTCAAATGTGACCTTGTCAATGAAGCCTCCACTGATTTTGATCCAATCAAAAATTGCATCTACTGACTCCTTAAGCCCCACCAATGCCATTCTTATACCCCTTACTCTGTTTTGCTGTTTTCCAATGCACAACTAGACATTCTGTGTTATCCATGTCTACTGTTCCTTGTATGAAAAATTTCCCTCACTAAGAGTGAACTCTGTGATGGCAGGGGTCTTTTGTCTCTGCTGTATCCCCAATCTCTAGAACACTGTGTAGCAGCATGTTTTCAATAAATACTTGATGACTAACCTGAAACATGACTATATTTTGCACTGTAGAATATAAGGGGGAAAAACCCTCCACTTGTGGGCTCTATTACCCAGTGTATGGATTTATCCAGATGTTTCTTTATCTCTATGCTCCTGTTGCTAATTCTGGATGTTTCTTTTATAGCATTTTTATAGCATTTATAGTAAGAGCAAAGAAACAAAAGTAGTTAAACTCCCACCTACCCTTCATGATGTTTTAAAAGTCAATTCCATGAACAGGTTACCAAACTCCTGAAGTCTCTTCTCGCTCCTCTTAATAATTGTCTTTTTATGGACCTTGGAATCCTCCCATGTTTTGAGACACCAATCCAGAAGCCACTTTTAATAAGTTGAGTATGTGCATGTACAGGTAGTACCCCTTTGCTCACCCCTATTACCACACAAATTCTTGTAAGTCAAGAAAGTATTTATTGGCTGAGAATGTGGCCCAGGGGTATAGCATTTGGTTAGTATACTCAAGGCCCTGGGTTAAGCTCCCCTAGAATTGTAAAGGAAAATAACAGTATGTATCATTTCATGATCTGTCCAAACAACTTTGCAATAATGTCTTCTTTAAAATAGTAACTGAGCAAATTCAACTAAAGCCCTTTGTCATACTCTCTGAATCAAAGCTTGAAGGAGAAGCGAGAGCTATAACCTGCAAGGACACTGCTCAGTATACAACTGCTGAGAAAATCAGCACTCTTGACTCCACTGGAAGAATTAAGGGTTTACAAATAAGGGTCTACAGAGAGTTCCAGGATAGCTAAGGCTATACAGAGAAACCCTGTCTCAAAAAAAAAAATGTTTACAAATATGAAGGGCAAAAGACATTTCTCTTCCTGGCATACTTAGAAGAGATGGCCAAAGAAATCTTAACATTTCCAAAAGGCCAGAACCAACAGTCTCAGGCTTTAAGTCACAGAGAAACACAATCAAGAATACTGACAAGACAGAGAGAGCAGTGGCTGTCTTCTGGGGAACATGTAACCACTTAAGAGATGAGAGAAGCCAATGAGGACAACAGTGCTGTCAACACAGCTCCAGGACTCCATAGGCAGCAATGCTTAACTGTACAGAGACAATAACACCGAGCTCTTTCTTTATATGTATCTCACATGTGTCCAAAACCAACTGCGTGTAACCAACTGAAAACAGTTGTTTTTCCAGTTACAAGGAAGGAAAAAACCAGATGCCAAAGCCTAACTCACCAAGAGCATATGTACACGTAGGAAAAGGAAGAGAGGGCTGGTGAGATGGCTCAGCAGGTAAAGGCAATCCAAACATGATGAGCAAATCCTATGTGTTGGGATTAAAGGTGTGTGGCACCACTGCCTGGCTAAGCATGCCTATAATCCCAGCACTCAGTCCAGAATCAAACAGTTAATTAAGAAGGCAGGAGGATGGATTAGGTCATTTCTCATTGACGTAGTCAATACAAAATTCAAGGGCCACATATAGCCCTCAGATGTGCTGTTCGGTTGGCTGAAATTTGGATATATTTATATATATTAAAGATTATGATTTAATTGCTAGCATTTAAAGATTGGAGGGCTAGAAAAATGACTCAGGGAGTAAATGAATTTGCTGCTAAGTCGAAAGGCCAGAGTTCAATCCCAAGGAATCATATGGTAGGAGAGAACCAACTCCCATGATCTCCACATGTGCATCCAGGCACACGGGAGTGTGTTCTTGAATGCACATGTGTACATGTGAGGGTAGGCACACACATGCACACACACAGTGAATATAATTTTAAAAAGAGATGTCAAAGCATTTCTGAAGCTAGTCTGAAGAAAGGCTGCAAACACTCCCAGAGAGCAGATGTATCATCATGTACCTCTCTAGAGCCTACCTGCCAGGAAGCGAGCATCCGATGTAAGCTGAATATTGTTAACTGGTGGTAGCCTGAAAAGGTTTCACTATGGGGACATAAGCTGGAGGTGGAATTAAAGTAAAATCGGAGATCTAGGAGAACCATAGCTCTAGTCTGCTGTATGGCTCTTACAGTCATATTTTAAAATTTGTATGTTTTGTTTTATTTTGTGTGTGCATGTGCGTGTGTGCATTTGTGTATGAATGGGTGTGGACTTATTCTTGTCACAGCACTCTGGATAGAGGGGTCAGAAGACAACTCTGTCTCCTGTCATCTTGTTGGATCTGGGGATTGATCTCAGACCTTAGGCCTGTACCCAAGCACCTCTATCAGCTGAGCCATGACGCTGACCATTACAGTCGTATCTTAACTGTCTTTCAAATAGCTTCCGTATAGAAGAATTAACACACATAGCAAGTTCCAGGTCAGTGGAATGGTGAGATCCTGTCTCAAACAAATAAGCCTGGTACACACTGTTAATCCCAGCACTCAGAAGACAGAGACACGAAGATTTCTGAGTTCAAGGCCAGCCTGTCTACAGAGCCAGTTCCAAAACAGCCAAGACAACACAGAGAAACCCTGTCTGGAAACAAAACAAAACAAAACAAACAAACAAACAAACAAACAAAAAACAACAAAAGCCAAACCCCAATCTCCCCCCCAACCCAACAAAAATTAAACAATAAATGAACTACACACTATTATAGGGCAATACAGAGAAGGCTGTTTTGAATTTTAAGTAATTATTTGATTTAAAAATTACACACATAAGCCAGGCGTGATGGTACACACCTTTAATCTCAAGTGTTCAGGGAGGCAGAGGCAGGTGGATCTCCGTGAGTTTGAGGCCAGCCTAGTCTACAAAGCAAGGCCAGGACAGCCAGAGCAACACAGGAAAATGTTATCTTGAAAAACAAACAAAAAAGAAAACATTTACATACAAATACTATTTTACTTTAATAAAATAATTTAACTAAAATAATAGAAGTAGAAAAAGAAGGAGGAAACTTCACACGTAAGAAAGGTGAGTGGGTTCTGCCAAAGTGGCAGCAAGGCTGTCAAATGAGTTAAGGCTTACTAAAAGTAATTGCAAAAGGTATTTTTATTACACGCAGATCAAGATGAAGATTAAAGGAAGTGACTTTCTGTGACATGATGTAATGCTGGAGGGACATCCAGAGACAGCAAAGCCCTCAACTACCTCAACTTTCACAATCACCACGTAGGACACTTCACAATTAACAGGTAAAGGCTTTTCTTTGGCCCAGCCTGACTACATCTGTGAATTCACTAATTGGATTAACTGTCACACAGATGCAGGACAGACTCAGAGTGAAATCAGTGCAGCAGAAGAGGCAACCTCAGTTCCTTGAGGAATCACAAAATAAAACAAGTCTACAGCACATCTCAAAGGGCACGTGAGCTACCCTGCAAGAAGAGGAAGAAGCATCAGGGCGCACATGCAGAGAGAAGTGAGGACAAAGGAAGAAGACCATTCCTCAAGTCAACGAAAGGAACACCATCTACTGGTGGTACCTTGACCTTCCAGCTTTCAGAAGTATGAACACATTTATGGGTTTTTGTTTGCTTGCTTACTTTTGGTTTTTGAGATAGGGTCTCTTTAGACAGCCCTGGGTGCCCTGGAACTTTCTATGTAGACCAGGTTGACATTGAACTCTGCCCTCCTGAACGTGGGGACTAAAATCATGAGTCACTATGCCTGGCTTTAAAATTTATATTTTTAATCCACCCACTTCGTGGTATTCCAGTATTGTAGCCCTGGCAGAGTAAGAGGCTTGTATATCAAGGCAGTTCACAAAAGATTTAGGGGAATACCCCAAAACAAAATAAACAAACAAAACAACCAAACAAAGAAACTCTCATTCTGTTGCTATATCCCATTTTTCTTTACACAAGTATGAAAAGACTACAGAGAATGGTTCCAGAAAGGGGAAGGAGTAATCTACTTTTCTACATTGGCTTAATAATTAAAACCACTGCACATCCAGGCAAAAGATACAATTAAATACAAAGGTTATTTCTCAGCTAGTCAATCTATGATCTTTGGGGGTGGGAATCTTGAGCCAGAATAAACTCCAAGAGTTCTCCATTTGGACTGTGCTGTTGCCAAGCTGCCACATCTGGCTGTGCTCAGTCAGAATGCTGCCACATCTGGCTGTGTTTGAGAGGGACTGCTTTTCCACACTTCCAAATTCCAGAAGGGAAGAACTTTATAACTTACTTAGTAACTAGACCACAGCAACTGGACACACCCACTCCTGCTGCCATTTTAAAATTTTTGTAGTGATGTTATTCATTCATCAACAAAGCCAAAAAATGTCTCAACTCTGAGCACTAGACATCTCCTGTGTCATACACATGGCAGACTCCTCTGTTATCTTTCTGTATGCCATTTTACAGTTTAATACCATCCATCTATCACCCCCTAGCAGATGGCTGAGTTGAGCTGTCCTCTGTCCTCAAAGCCATTTTTCTAGCAGCAGGTAACTTTTTGTTTTGTTTTTCGAGTCAGGGTTTCTATGTATAGCCTTAGCTGTCCTGGAGCTCACTTTGTAGACCAGGCTGGCCTCAAACTCAGTGATCTGCCTGCCTCTGCCTCCCCAGTGCTGGGATTACAGGCATGTGCCACTGCACCCGGCTACATAACACATAACTTAAAATAAAAATTTTAAGTCTTGAGAAAATTCTTTGAAATAAGATATAAAGGAGATTGTTAGGGTCTAAAGAAAAATGTTTAGCAATAGGGTGTGATGGCACACACTTAGAATCTCAGCAATCTGGATGCTGGGGCAGGAGGATTCAGAATTGCAGGCTAGTCTGCAGTACACAGTAAAACCCTATTTCTAGAAGTTCCCTCCAATCTCTCCCATAAAGACTGAATGAAAGTAGGAAAGGTTCTGGGACTGAGACATGGCTCAGTGGGTGAAGACTCTTGCTGTCAAGATGGACAACCTGAGTTCAATCTCTGGCTCTACATGGCAGAAAGAGAAATCTGACTTTGACACACTAATTGTCCCCTAACCTCCACACGTGCACCATGGCTAATGTGCATGCATACAAGTGTGTGCACACACAGCTACTCAAAGAAATAAAACTTTAAATCGAAGGTTTTTGGGAGGGAGAAATATCTAAGTATCATTTATGCTAGATACAACAATGTGTAAATGACCTGGCTTCTTCTAATCTTGACTTTAAAAATTCTCTTGATATTTTTTAGATGAACTGCTTATACTAAAAGAAGTATAGGGGACCAGCGAGAAGGCTCAGCAATTAAGAGCACTGCTGCTTTTGTTGAGGACTCAGGTTTGGCTCTCAGTACATATACGGTGGCTCACAACCAGTTGTAACTCCAGTTCTAGGGGATTTCACACCCACAAGGGTACCAGATACACATGTGGCACACATATATTTATAAACAGGCAAAACATTAATACACATAAAAAATCTAAAAGAGGTTTTTTAAAGAAGCATATTTATCTCTTGTAACAGTGTTCTCTCAAGGAACTGCATGCCACAGGCAGAGAGAGTCAACCAGAGCGGCACAACCACACTGGGGCACACTCACCTGCTTCTGGATCTGCAGGGATCTTCCACATGTATAGGTTAAAGTCATCAGAGCCTGAAAGGATGTACTGTTGGAACAAAAGAGACATTTTATATTTTATTTTATAATTGGAGAGACAATCATTCAATTACATTTATAATTCAATATATATATATAGCCTTGTGATATCATTCTGTAAAGAAAATTTCATTAAGAACAGGGCCAGTGTGATGGCTCACTGGACAAAAGCAATTGCTGTGTAAACCTGATGACCTGGGTTTGATCCCCAGATCCCACAGTAGAGGGAAAGAACAGATCATGAGCACCATGGCACTGCTACTCACACGTGCACACACACATACACACACACACTTTAAAACAGTATAAACTGTTATAATTTAAGGTCCTACAAAGTAAATAGCCTAGTAAAAATACAGATCACAAGGCTTTGCAGCTAAAACTGTGCAACAACAACAACAAAAAACCCAAAATCTTAAAAATAAGCAATGAGTGAGCACTTCGGAGGCGGAGGCAGAGGCAGGTGGAGGCAGAGGCAGAGGCAGGCGGATCTCTGAATTTGAGGCCAGCCTAGTCTGCACAGTGAGTTCCAGGATAGCCAGAACTACAGAGAGAAACCCTGTCTCGAAAAATAAACAAGAGCAAGGGACTCAGATAAACATTTGTTCAAAGAGTTTATGCAAATTCCAACCATTAATAATAGAGACATGCAAATAAAAACCATGATGAATATCACTACATACCTTTAGGATGGCTCTTACAAGTAAGGCTAGCCAGGTCTACAGAGTGAGTTCCAGGACAACCAGCTCTACACAGTGAAACCTTGTCTAGAAAGAAAAAAATCCCAAAACAAAACAAAAAGCTGGGCGGTAGTGGTGTACACCTTTGATCCCAGCACTCAGGAGGCAGAAGCAGGCAGATCTCTGTGAGTTCAAGGCCAGCTTGGTCTACAGAGTGAGTTCCAGGACAGCCAGGGCTACTCAGAGAAACCCTGTCTCAAAAAAAAAATCCCAAACCAAGTATGGTCCAGGGTATGGAGAAAGGGAATTTCTGTTATTAGCATTGCAGCACGGCGCAGGCTCTGAGAAAGATATTCTGCCAATTCCTCAGAAAGTTAGCACACAACTACCTTAACAAGCACTTCTAGCCCAAGATGTCTAAGAACTGAACACAAAAACCAACAAACGCCTGTACGTGCACAGTCACGGCTGCCAAAAGGTGGAAGCACCCCACAGCCTGCTGACAATGAATGGACAGACAAAGCATGGCAGCACATGTAACGGAGATCACTCAACCTCTGAAGAAAGGAAATTCTGAAACATGCTGCAATATGAATGAACCCCAAGGATAGCTGAGGCAAAATGAGGCCGACACCTAAGACAAGCCTTAGCGATGCTGCTCCCGTGAGGTCCTTACTGCAGTCACTAAGAAATGGCAAGTAGAACAGTGTTGTCACAGTTAGGTAATGGAGAGGCGGTGTTTGTTGGCTCCTATGAGGATGATTAAAAACAAAACAAAACAACTTCTAGAGATGAATGGTAGTAATAGCTGAACAATGAAAAAATACAAAATGCCACTAACCTGTGCAGTTAAAGAAAGACTTATTTGTGTTTGCACGCCTGCATGTGTTCCTGTTACACATCAGGACAGGACGTCTGATATCCCAAAGCTTGACTTATAAGTAGTTGTGGGATGCCTGGCCTCTGGTCCTTATGATTGTGAAGTAAACACTCTTACCACTGAGGTATCCCTCCAGGCACAACTGTACATTAGAAGGTTTTCTACCTTTTTATTTGTTCTGAGTACATGCATACCATGCACTTGTGTGAAGGTCAGAAGACAACTTGTGGATGTCTTTCTCTTCTACCCTGTGGGTCCTGAGGATATCTCAGGACACAGCTTTGACAGCAATCACCTTTACCTACTGAGCCATTTCAACAGACCCACAACTATACACTTTTACATTAAGTACACTGACTATTGACCTCAGAGCCTTGTATATGTGAAACACCATGCTACTGAATTATACCTCAGCCCCTGAAGTGTACTTTGTGTGTGGGGTTGGGGTATGTGTGTGAAATTGGGTATTGCTAGGCAGCCAAGGCCGGCCTTAATCTTGTAATTCTCCTGTCTCACTTTCTTGAGTAATGAGATTACAGGCATGTATGTCTACACCCAGCTCAACCCTAGTTTTTTATGTGGAAAATCTCAGGTCACAATTTTTAAAAGTACAAAAAATAAAATCTAGCATCTTCAGGAGGTGTTTGAGGTCAAGCATCGCAAATTTCTCTATATCTCCCTGACGCCCTGGAGCATCAGGCCAATCAACCCTGACTTAGCACCAAGCATAATAATATCTTTTTATGAGGCAGCTTCCAATCACATGGCCTGAAAGGGGCCACTACTGCCAGATCTATTCCAATTACTTAGACTCACAAACACACTGTACTTATGAGTAAACAGCAATAAGTAGTAACTTTAGTAGCTCACTTATTTCCAGATATTGACAAAACTATTTTGCTCTAACTTGAAGCCAAAATTACTTCTGTATTTTTATTCCATCTGCTCATTTTTCTCCAGAAAAAGAAAGGCCTATGGTTTTCTGATGACACTGTAAACTTCTAGAACAGATTAAGCCCAACAGGCACACAATCTCTTTGGAACCACTTAAAATCAATGGTTAGGACTGGGATATGCCTCAATGGTAGAGTGTTTGGTTGGTCTATGAGTTTAGGTTCAATAGCCACTATGGTTGAAAAAAAAAAAAAATCATTCACTAGCCTTCAAAAACCTTAAGGAGCATGAATGGGAGGCAGAGGCAGGGAGTTTGCAGTGGAGCTCTGTTGTCCTCAGGCTAAGACCCTGTGGAAAGGACACTTAGTATCTTCACATGCTAGATGAGACAGCCAGGTTGTTTGCTCTCCAAGAATGAATGGTGGAACCCCGGTGAGAATATGATGTCCCTAATCTATCATCGAAGTGGCTGAAAAATCACTCTGGGAAACTCAAAATAACGTGTTACACTCCAATTGAAAAGTTTCCCTGCAGTTTGGAAATTGGAATTCAGGTGCTCAGGAGTTTCACAAGATTAACAGAAAATATTTACTCACTGGGTACTAACCCAGAGCTTAGTTGATATGCCAGCTATTCTGTTGCCTACAAAGGCATGGAAAATGACACCTGGGTTCCCAAGGGGCTTACAACAAGTAGAAAATGGAAAACATGTTGGTATACAAGTTGCTAAGTTCTATTAAGAGAATATAGAACTTGGCAACTCCCAGAAGAGTTGAGACAAGATCAGTGTGAGCACTAAGCTAGCTTCAGAGAAAGTCTCGAGGCCAAAGAAGATACAGTGATGGTTTGGCTCCCTACCCATTGGGCTGCTTGACTGCCTGACTGCCAACTGCCAGGTGCTCCCCCGCCCCTTTTTCCTGAGACATGGTTTCTCTGTGTAGCCTTGGCTGTCCTGGACTCACTTTGTAGAGCAGGCTGGTCAGGAACTGCCTCTGCTGAGATTATAGGCATGTGCCACCACAGCCGGTCTGCTCCATATCTCTTCGCCAAAGCTTTTTCCAAAGCCTGTCTGCAGACTGCTCCAAGAAATGAGTGCTGCACAGAAGCAGCCCTCAACCAGACTGCCAGGAGCAGCCTAGCTTCATGTCCTGACAGAAGAACACAGATGTTTGTGCTTTACAGCTTCCCCCTCAAGAGCAAACTCAAAACTGCTGGCAGCCATAGGCTTTGCTTCAGTCTCCCTCTCCCCTCACACGTCTCCACTCTGCTGTTGCTTATTGTTATTTCCAAAGAATTAATTGAACCTGAAAATTGAACCTCTATAAGACAGAGAGGGAGCCAGAACACAAATGAATCATCTACTAATTCCATGCCTGTATGTGTGTAGGTATGGAATATAACTTATCAATATCTCGTTCTAGCTAAAAAGAGGCTGTAAACCTGATAGAGAACTCCTGCTTCCCTTTCCCCCCCAAACCTCACCGAATTAAAGAAACAAAAAATGCATACTAAAAAAAGTACTGCAAGGCTGTACTTATTGGAAGTCTTCCTTTGCTGAAGAATCAGTACTTTCCTACTTGTTTTGTATTCACTGGGGCAGAGCCCGGGAATGCTAAAGGAGCAGGCTGTCCAGACAGAACGCTGACTCAGAAGACAGCCTTAGAAGGAAAAAAACGCTCCCACAGAGTTAAGCCTGTTGGCTTCAGTACGGCAGCTCCTCAAACACACAGAAAATGCTTAGAATGTTTTAAATGCTTTGGGGGATAAGGCAAAGTCTGATAGCTCGTCTCCCTTAAAACTCCTCTTCCATCTACTAGGAAAGAACTGCTTGGGATAATGTCCAGGGAAGGAGTCTCGACCCGCTGACATCTAGTCAGACTGTAAGTGTTCACCAACACTGGAATTACAAGATGCCCTGAGGAATTCATTTATGGCATTTAGTGGTTGTCTGTTGGATTCCTGCCAACATTAACAGTTGGATGCCTGGGATACTGTTAACTATGAGAGCCTGAAATGAAAATGAGTTCATTCTTTTATTCTTTAGACAAATATTTCTCGAGTGTCTACTATGTGTTGAGCACTGTCCCAGGAAAGAAAATACAGAAATGGCAAAGAGACCCTGTCCCTGCCCTCATGAGTGAGAAAAATTACATACACATATAATGTGGAGAAGGGAAGCAATGTTAGGAACAAGAAGTCCATACATGTTGTTCCCAGTCGGAATAAACATTAAAAGAAAAGTGAGTCATATGAATAGAGGATGATCTAGGGTGTGGTGGGGGTAGTTTGTTTCCATTTATGTGGGGTGGTCACAGAAGACTTCTTTGATAAAACAGCATTTTGAGCAAAGACCTGAAGGAAATGAGAGAGCAAATTATATGGATCTCTGGGAGAAGACTATTCCAGAAAGGGGTAAGATTCTGGGATATTTCAAAATAGAAAGTAGCAAACTGTGTATAATGGTTCAAACCTGTATTCCAAGTATTCAGAAGGCTTTGAGGCAAAGGGCTGAATGAGAAAGAGCCCATAAGAGTTCCAGGCCAGCCTGGGCTACAC